ATTATTGGCATTGCATGTGATACTTTTTTAATGTTCTCATATTGTCAATATGGTAAATGGCGCAATTGCCATATCACACTTTGAGAAACTTTTGCGATTATCAGCACCCATTATTTTTATCGTTTAAACCAACAAAACACTGTAACATCTTTTCTAGCAACAAACTCAAGATGATACACATTTTTACTTTTCGCGGTAATTTCTTGGCGTAAAGTTCGACAACAGCTGCAATGAACAGTGCACCGTAAAGGTAAACAAGGAAATTATGTGCTCGTGACTGAACTTTTGGCTGATTTACCATCTTACTTTTTTCTTTGTTAGATTGAGCAATGTGGATTTGTGAAGGGTGAAAAAATACCTCACAACAATTTTTTTTCGCCAGTTGCTATCAAGATATTATGTGCGACTGCCTCAACAGGCCTATATGCCGATTACCAATGCATTCCACACTTGGAAATGGCCAACAAGACCAACACAAATGAACAATTTTTTTGGCACAAAAACAATTTGTTTGGCACATTTCCATAATTTTAGGTCTATTGCTATTGGAAAATTTGTTTTAAGGAGAAAATCAAACACAGAACGGACGAAAGCAGCCTGATTTTATGTAAGAGACACTCAATCCGAAAACTGCAAAACTGCATTTCTGACTGAGCCAGCTCTTTCGAATGGGTCAGAACAAACACTCAGTTTCCATGCTGGTCAATTGTTGTTTCAATGGCGACCCATGTATAAATCCAAAACTGTATTTGTTTAACAGTTTCTTTTATGCAATAAACGCTTGATCTCACTGAATAAATTCTGAAGTGAAAAAACAACGGGAAGTAAAAACGAAGTGTCAAACATGGGTTCCTTTACGTTATAGTGCACTACCGCAGGCCTATCTGTGAAAGATGTGTCTAAAGCAAGACAATGATTACACAAAAATTCAACATTTTGTTCTTTGAGTCACTGTATTATGTCAATCTAAGATATAGATAGAGTTTACGCTAAACAAATAGCCAGGAACAGTTACAGTTAAAACTGCCGACTTTCGTTGACGTTCATTGACTGACACGTGTAAAAGGCCAAATGTTTACGGTTTTGATGGCAGTTTTCTTATGAAAAAACCATGAATTGCCTGTGTCATGGCATCCATGTGCAAAATCTAAAATTCGATAAACCACTGAAACATGATAAATTGTTAACCAAAGAGCCTTCTTTTCGTCATGGGACTAAGCCAAATCTCTCAAAATGATCCTTCTTATATCAGGCACATATCCGTAGTGACAGGCAAGAAAGCAGAGACACAATCCGACTCTATGCAGTCTATGGACCGTTCCAAACACTGGATCAAACCGTTGTGCCGATCGAAATGCGAACGAGGTCATGCAGATGATTTTGGCGTTTTAGCCTGTAAATTCTAAAAAATATAAATTAAGATAATAATAATGCCAAACATAAGAATTTTGTGATAATATGTTATAATATATATTTTCATTGAAGATTCCAATAATAACCATGAAGTATTTTGATGTTTGCCACGCTATAAACTTCATTAAAAAACTCCACTTTTAAAGAAGCTACAAAATGTCTCATACAGTAGAGTTCCATGTCTCGCTTTTGCGTAATTAGGACTGTCGGTCAAAACGAAGAAGTATAAGTTTCAAATGCTATATTGGCTAATGTCGCCCAAACATAAGCGTTTTCTCACATGCATTACCTGAATTTGGCCTTCCTATGACTTAAAATGCATTTTGCAATTAATTTTTTTACTATATTATTTACTTGTCTTTATCGTGAGTGGGTTGGGGGGGGGGTCCCACGAGGGATATATTTGTATTGTACTCATAGAAGTTTGCTTCTAAATTGTGGCTCATTATTATATACACTGTTACGTTATAATGTGTTACGTTATAATGTGATTGTGGTATCTCGTGACTTTTTGACCAATCGGAACATTGCAAATTGCACGCTCCAGAAGAGAAGAAAGGTCAAGGTCAAGTGAACGCAACAGAAGCGTTTTCTCCGCAGCATGGCGATACATGTACTGATGACCGGGGCTGATGAATGGTGCGAGATTTGTCATTGATCTACGATTCAAACATGAGAAATATTCTGGGAAAAGGACCCGTGTACAACATGTATGGATTCCCAATGGAGAGAGGTATTTTGTATGTGACTGAATGACGTTTGCCTCCGAATCCGTCGATGCATAACTATAGCGGTGACAGTGTGACTTGGATTTTCATGAGAAACTGTTCCGCGGGAGAATGTTATTGAGGTGAACAATAATTTGTTTGACAATGTGGATGTATTTAACTTTAAAGCGAGGAGGAGGATGTGGCGATAGGCCTGACTGCCCGAGGTGGCATTTATTGACATACATGTGTGCACCATCCATCGACTTCAAGACATTATAACCATTCATGTACAAATGACTTTTAAGATTAACTGTAATATTGTTTATTCTTGTTTAGCTTGTTATATTATGTTCTAGTTCTGAAAATTGTTATGTGTTAATCATAGCTTAGTAATATAGTAAAATTGTTCAAGAACATTGCTTTATGTTATGAGAATCCGTCCGTAACAACACCAATCGAGAAAAAGGATGCAACCATAGTCGTGGATCTCCATATAGCTTTATGTCCACTGCTTAATCGGCCTAATCTGCCTAATCTACCCACCACCAGTCCGATTTATACCCAGCTCTACATGACATGTCTAAGACCACATTTCCATAGATATTTAGATTGATCTATCCCCCTGGGAAGTCTCACTAGATTGTTGTCAGCTTAACCGCCTTGAATGTCTGTCCCGCCTACTAAAAGCCGTAAGGCAGTAATTAACTGTCGATCGCGTTCAGCTGACAGCAATTTAGCGTGAGCCCTCAAGGAGTTAGGTTGATCCAGATGGATCGATCTAAATCTCTGGGAATGTAGTCTTATTACCTATGAACTTAATATATCATCTAGTCCCACGAGACAAGTGTCAGATGAGGGCAACTTTGACTTACTTGATTTTGGAATTTCTACGTACCTTATGTAGCTTACAATAGAGTGTGTCAACAATGAAGACAGCATTTCTTTTGTTTTATTGGGCAACTTCGACTTACAATAGTGTGTGTCAACAGTGACGCTTACTCGCATTTTGGATTTCTGACCTACTTATAGCTTACAATAGCTTTTGATCGGACGAAGAGCGGTCAGCTAACATACTGGGGCCGNTTAGGAATTTTGACAAAAAAATTGGCCGAGGGCTGCTTACAAGTAGTGTTTAATAAATGGATGGGAGATTCGACAACCCGGAAGAAGGGTAGGGATTTGTTTTGTTATTAAATATGGGATGGGTTGCTATCGTGTGTGCACTGTCACAAGTCACTGGAATGTGGTATCCGTGTCTGCAGTAAACATGGCACCGAGAGCAAGCTGACGGGTATACTGATAACTTATTAAGATATGTTTGACTTAACTTGTAAGATAAGAGAAGACAAATGGTGCTTGACAAATTTATAGAGTCTATGCATATCTCATTTGATTAATTTCGAGTGCATGGACGCCTCAGGTACGCTAAATGTTGTGTGCGTAGGCGTGCCTGTGGCAGTATTCAGAACAGAGGACTAAAGCAGCTAAATTTATCTAATATAAGAAAAATAATAAGAAAAATGATCAATCTTTGGCATAGAAATAATTACTAACTGCCAGTGAGGTTGTGATAAATAAACTTTCATCGTAACTGCATGATTGTGTGGTAACGATACGGCTGATGTACTTCTTACCTGGTTTACGGTCACCGCGCTTTACCAGCGCCACCTGTTAACCTGCCCGAGGAGACGAAAGCCGCCGGCTGATTATCACGCACTGATTACAACTTACGGATAAAAAGCGCGTGCTCCTCGCAGGCAGACCCAATTGAAACAGGTGCTAGATAAATGGAAAATAAATAGTTATAATAACTGGTTCTTCCATCAACAGCTTAAACTGAAGTTATTGCCATTCTAGTATTTCAGTGTCTAGGTTAGGTAATAACTCGTTTTAACTTTTAAGATGTTGGTAGAGCCTATTTTAATGGTGACATGATATAGCTGATGAAATATTTTACTGAGAAATAAGTAGATAGACGAATGATATTAATGAGGCACTGGACGAGCGAGCGAAACGCACTGCCTCCATCAACGAAAACTACATTTCACGGAAAATCGACGCATGTATCTATTGTATTGTTTCTTGAGACGACATTTCCAGCGCACTGAGTTTCATCCTAACCGCTAAAATGTCAAAACCTCCTCACGCTGACTCTCGCACGTTTTCTTGTCGCATGACGTCTGGCATGACGTCACACTGTGCGGTCAACCTCGAAATAAGCCCCAGCTTTGGTGAAAATAGAATGTGGTGTTTAATGCAGTGCTACAGTTGAGACGTAGCACAATGAGTGTCACAGATGCGATGCAGTCGGGCTAAGAATATGATTATTACATGTACACACGTTTAATAGCCAATCATGTCTATTAGTCGTAAATTTGATCCCTCTTTCTCCTTCTGAATTTTTGGCAAATTAGCAACTTCCTCGTCAATTTTTGTTTGATCCTGACCTCATCATTGTCCTGAAGTTATTCATCTATTGGTTTATCATCATTGTCGTATCTATATTGTACAGGGAAATACAGGTCACCCTTCCTACTGAATGGTTAAGGGTAATCCCAAATGAGTGTTTTAATTTTTATTAAAATGAAATAAACATAAAAGCATTTTTTTTGTAAAAATAGACAAGTTTATTTATCTTATAATTCATTCATCATATTATACCACCCCAAACATTCAATAATGCTTATCATACAATATATATTATGTTAATTTGTATGTAATATACATTGTATGTAATATACAATGTATATTTCATACAAATTTACATAGATTTTATCTCCCATTTCCTTTACTTGTCATCATTAATCTTTTCTGGATCTCCAAGACGAAATTAAAGATATGTATGTACAATATAACCAAAGGCTATTCACAAAAAACCAAAGGTCAGCAGTATTTATGCAAAATACATGTATAAAACAGCATAAAAAACGAAAATAAGTTCAACAATGGCACCAGGATCAAAGACCTATACGTCATACGTGACAATTGACGCTCACAGAGGTCCTAGCATCACGTTTAAAATAATCAGAACGCATTATGACGAGTCAAAAATTAAAAAAAAACTTCCTAGATTAGGAATTTCATTACGAACAATGGTAAAAAAGTCTTATTGTTTGGCCAATAAAATTACCAGATGTTTGGAGTAACATTTGAAATATCTAGTAAGACATGTCAAGTCAACTGTTTTATAACATACATGTATGACTCGAGCAAACACCGGTTTTAGCCTCTTTTTTTTCAGATCTAAATTTTCTTGAGTGTAATGAGGACTTTAAATAAATACAAAATACACTCACGGTAGATAGCAATAAGTTATGCCGTAGGCCTATGTAAAAGTTTTTTAGAAACAAATGGATTAAAAGGACAGTTGTCACGAGTATTTTTAAATCCCTTGAAATTAATTTCACTTACACACTATCCTTTGATACAAGCCTTTCAATTGTCTTCTCCATGAATAGAAACCTTTTCTTAGCAACTATTATAAAGACAACAGTGAGTTTATATAGTGATGAACTAAATTGCTTAACATTTCGATGATTATCTTTGAGCGAACTGGACATTGAGCAAATTAAAATTAAAAAAAAAAAAAACACGGAGATATATTTCAAAGCCTAAGCTTTCGATTACAAATACAGGAATAAATAGATATCACAGTAAAAATCTAAAAGTCATTAGAGGAAGAACATCCACCGCCCCCAGTGTCATTACTTGAGCTACTGGTACAACCTGCGTCACCACCGCCGCTGCTAGGGGAACTATAATCATGTCCAGTATATCCACTGCTGGGAGTGTAGTCCATCCCACCGCCACCACTTATAGAACTAATCCCACCGCTGCCACCACTGTTGTTGCAGGCTGATGCATTGCCGTTTGGCGTGTACTCAGGCGCAGAGGGGAATTTGGTGTCACCGGCATTCAAGGGCTGAGATGGGTAAAAACTGGCATCCCCATAGGCCGGCGGCTGGTCATGTGTCCAATACGAGTTCTGTTGCTGGCTGTTGTTTGAGAAATATGCGGTGTCTGATCCGGTAAGATGGACCCCAGGTTCGTGTATACCAGGTCCGCCGTTTGCTTCTGTTTCGAATGCGGCAAACATGGCATTGTTATTTTCCACCGCTTTGTCCTCTTCGGGTTTCTTCTTACCACAGCAACTCTCGAAACAGACGCTACAGCAGGCAATGCAGCAAATGGTAGCCACGACGAGGAAGATGATTCCAACTGGAATGCCAATGCTGAGGCCGAGAATTAAAGCTAGATCAGTGTCGTCTGAAGAAGAAGAGCCACCCGAGTAGCTCCCTCCGCGGTAGGTTCTAATTCGTACTCTGAATCTTCGTCCTGTAGAAAAAATAAATGAGTTAATATAAAATGATATAGAACAGTATTCTTAAATCTTCTTGAGTCCGAACATTACATACAGTAAGGATTGTCGAGGTCATGACATAATCATTTCAAAGACTACAAAAGGAATAGAGGAGACCATTCAAGCATACAACACAGTTTACCGTCTGTCAAAAGAACAGACGAAATAAAGAAAAAAAAAACAGAAAGCTCTTATTCCTAATCTGAAAGTTTTTATTAATCGATGTAGGACGCGTTGTATAATATAGGGGAAAGGGCCGGGCAGACATGGACGTTAATCAGGCTGGTCATCACTTTGGACCCTCTTCAACATGTTGGACATATTGAACAATGTAGACACCACATCACTGACAATGCCCAGCACCCTTAACAATACTGAGTCGACGCTAACTTAGCTTGTTTTCATTGCCACATCATTTTAAATCATATTCAAATACAGTTGGGGGATATATTTATGTTCTGGATTAATCCTCCAGTGCAATAAAAATTAAAGCACAAGTGTTCCTTCTTTGTTCTATCATAGTTCTATTTTATTGCCACAATACAATGCATTAAAAAGGTACTTGTAACAACAGGTGTTTCACTTTAACTGTCACTGAGTGGGAAATGTCTTTCAAAATGCTTTTAGTGTGCAAGGGTAAAAATTTTAAGTGCTTTTCTCTAGAACATTTCTCCCCTCCTTGATATAATAATATATATCAAAAACTACAGCTATATATAAATAATAACATAAAACTATTAAACAAATAGCACATGCTCGTCAAAGTCAAAGTTTTCAAAGTCTTTTGCGTCACTTTGACTTTCTCCATCAAGTCCAATTTCTAAGTTTCTTGATTTAAAAACTCTAAAGTCATTAGTGTGATATCAGTAAATCAAAGTTAAGGTCTCTTCCAATGTTTATGTGGCTAAGATCTAGTTTAAAAAACAAAGTTTTTAATCCAATGGACACAAGTTCACAACAGGTCTCTTATACGTCTTTCCATCCACAGTCACATCTGCAACACGAACACATCCATCAGCTCCTGGGTACACCTTTGAAATTCTCCCTAGTGGCCATTTTCCGCGTGGAGTGTCGTTGCACATGACCAGAACAACTTGTCCGTTTTCCAAATTCTTCTTCTGTTTATGCCACTTTTTCCGTGCATTTAAACTGGGTAACCATTCTTTGAGCCACCGTTTCCAGAAGCTGTGGACTACTTCCTGTACCCGACGCCAACGTTTCCTTGGATTGAATGCAATTTCATCTATTTCTTCTGGAGCAAATTGTCCACCAATCTGCCCATGTAAGAAATGATTAGGCGTCAGCGGTTCTAAATCTTGAAAACTTGATGACTGATAAGTCAGCGGTCGACTGTTAATAAGTCCTTCAGCACCCACAACAGCACTAACAAGTTCTTCATCATTTACTTCGGCATTCCCAAGGGTTGCATTAATGGCTCTTTTCGCTGCACGAACCATCACTTCATGAACCCCATTAAAATGTGGTGCTGCTGGAGGATTGAAGTGCCAGCGTATTCCTTTAGAAGAAGTCTTCTCCTTGATTTTCTCTGGTTGCAGGTCTAATAATTCTTGGAGTTCTTTGTTTGCCCCAACAAAGTTTGTTCCATTATCCGAGTACATATCCTCCGGCACTCCCCTCCGTGACGTCATGCGGAAGAGAGCATTCAGAAACGAATCTGAATCAAGACCAAAGGCAACTTCAAGGTGAACAGCACGTGTTCCAAGGCAGGTAAATAAACACAAGTATCTCTTGATCCTGGCCTTTCCTCGTCCCTGTTTTACTATAAACGGTCCCGCGAAGTCTACTGATGTCTGGTTAAAAGCACGTAGAGTCACCCTAGTTCTCATCTTGGGTAAAGGTGCCATTACTTGTTCTGCTGGAGTTGCTTTTCTTCGCTTACAAAAGCTGCAATCTTGTTCAATGGATCGGATTACTTCACGGGCTGAAATTATCCAATATCTTTTGGACATCTGTGCTAGAACGAAGTTTGTTCCACCATGGAGAGCTTGAACATGATGGTGCTTTACTATGAGTTTTGTTGTCCACTGATTCCGTGGAAGAATTACTGGGTGTCGCATCTCCCAAGGGACACTACTTGACCACCTCAAACGTCCATTTGATCGAACTAGCCCATCTTCATCCAAGAATGGGAGCAAAGCAAGTATCTTTGAATTGCTCTTTATCTCTCTGTTTTGCTTCAATGCCAAGATCTCATCCCGGAATTCTTCTTTCTGGGCATTTCTGATGTGAAATATCTCTGCTGTGGCTAATTCATCAGGTTCCAATGCATTTTTATGCCGCAGCAACTTTGGTAGTCTACAATTTTCAACAAATCTCAAGACCCAAGCCGTTACTCGGACTAGTCTGGTCCAGCTGGAATAACATTTTGATGACAGTCTGTCACCTTCGGCCTCGACATGGGTAATATATGTGGCACTCGATGATTTTTGTGTTCTGTGTTCACTTCTGGCCTCTCTTTCATCAGTCTTTACCACAAATTTTTTAGGCCAGCTCTGCGGCTCCTCTGACAAGAATCGTGGACCCTTCCACCACTTTTCTTCATTCGTCAGTGCAACAACGCTGAGTCCACGTGTCAGCAGGTCTGCTGGGTTCATTTTACTAGTTACGTGACGCCACTGTGTTGGAGCAGTTTTCTGCTGGATCTCCCCAACTCTGTGAGCGATGAAAGGTTTGAACAGCTTGCTCTGTCCATGAATCCAATACAGCACATCCATGCTGTCGGTCCAAAAATGACGATCTGCCTGGTCGATGTTCATGCAGTTTCCGATTTCTTCACTGAGGCGAAATCCAATCACTGCTGCCACGAGTTCCAGCCTCGGAATGCTGACTGCTTTCAGAGGTGCCACTTTGGTTTTTGAAGCTACCAGTTGACTTGATACTGTATCATCTTCATACACATGTCTGATATATACTGCAGCTCCATATGCATCTTTGGAGGCATCTGTAAACGTGTGCAGTGATGCCTTAGAAACTTCCTTCTTTTCTCGGAGACATCGAGGTATCTCAATACGTGACAATTCTTTGAGTTCCCTGAACCACTCCTTGGCCTTCTTCTGCTGTTGTAGCAAGAGTTCTTCGTCCCAATCAACACCTGAAATCCACACCTCTTGGAATAAGACTTTGGCTCTGATTGTATAAGGCTGCAGAAAGCCCAGTGGGTCAAAGAGTGCAGCAGTTTTGCTCAAAAACATCCGTTTGGTGAGCTTAATGTTCTCTTGTTCATCTTCTTGATTTACTTGATAACAAAATATGTCCTCTTTTGCTGACCACAAAAGTCCTAACGTCTTCACTGATGGCAGTGTTCCCACATCCAAATCAACTTCAGCCACACAATCTTCTGCTGGAACATGCTGTAATACTTCAGGTTCATTTGACAACCACTTTCTGGGATGCATACCAGCTCTCTGCCACAGGGTTCTTAACTGGCTGACTAATTCAATCCCTGTCTGTACATCTGCTACAGAATCTATACTGTCGTCCATGTAGGTACTGTTGATGACCGTGTCCGCAGCTAACGGCAATTCTTGTTCATAGTTCTGGGCATTGGTCCTGGATACAAATTGTGCAAGAAATGGTGATGCGTTTATACCAAATACAATTCTTGTCCACTCATAGATGTCAGGTTCTTGTTCTTGATCTGTTCGCCATAGGAATCTATGGAAAGCGCTGTCCTCTTCTTTAAGTTTAATTTGTAAATACATCTCTGAAATGTCGCAAATGATCCCCACTGGATTCTGTCGAAATCTTAGCAAAACTGAAAATAGTTCATTTTGTAATTTTGGCCCAGGATGTATTACATCATTGAGGCATAGGTCTTGGTTCTTTGCAGATGCATCAAATACAATTCTGGTTTTTGTGGTGGGTTTGTCAGGTCGTAATACTGGGAAATGAGGCAGGAACCATCTTTGTTTATTTTGCTGTTCATCTTCATCTGTGACTTTTCTTATGTATTGTTTTTCTTCATAACCACTGAGGATATTTTGATACGCCTTCTTTAGTTCTGGGTCCTTGTTCAATCTCTTTTCGGTGTTTTGTAGCCTTTTCTTGGCCATGGTATAGTTATCCCCCAGTTGTGCACGGTTCTGCTTCCATGGAATCCCAATGGAGTACCGTCCATCTTCCTTGATGATTGAAGACTCTGCCATTTTTAACGCTTCCTTCTCATCTGGTTTCACGTGTGGTGCTGATATACCAAACTCTTCAATGTCCCAGTAGCGTCGAAGGAGGTGATCTAAACCTTCTTGTTCTTGTACTTGTTGGTTTACATATAAAGTAAAACCAGTGTTCGGTCTGCTAGTGTTCTTCTGTGCGGCTGCAATACAGGTCCACCCTAGTGGAGTTTTGCGGGCAATTGGTTCCCCTGGCTCACCTCTGACGTCTTCTTCTGAAAACATTAGGTCAACTTGGTCTAAACCTATCAGTAGATCCACTTTTGGCCGTGGTCCTATCTCTGGGAAGTTCAAGTTCTGCAAATGAGGCCACTGTCTTTTGTACTGGTTCCAGTTCACCACTTGTAAATCTCCCGTCACTTGTTCAACGGTACATGCTGCTGCTGATCGTTCTATTCTTCCATCAACGGAACAAATCGTGAATTCCACACACGTCGTCTTCAGCTTGTTTTCTCTCCCATTCAGAGTGGTAACATTAATTTCCTCATATTCTCCTGACAGCTTCAATTCGGCAGCAACATTACTGTTTAGATAGGATCTGGTGCTGGCTTCATCCAATAACGCATTCACCTTGATGCTCCTGTCATTATTCTTCAGGATAACTGCTACTGTTCTCATAGCTAACGTCTCTGGTTCGGTTCTTTGTTCCTTTGATACAGAGGTAAGGGTTCTCTCCTGAGGGGACTTTGGTGAATTTTCTTGGTTCCTTTGTTCATGGTTCTTTGTTTGGGATCTGGTCTGGTCATTTTTCTCCTGTTGAGAATCTGCATGAAGTAGTCTGTGGTGATAAGATCGGCAATTGTTGATCCCACAAATTCTGGATCGAGGGCAGTTGTTTCCAAAATGTCCAACACCAAGACATCTGAAACACAGCTTGTTCTTCATTGCGATATCCCACCTTGATTTGACATCCACTTGTCGGAAGCTATTACACGCCCATAGGCCATGTACACCACCACAGTGCACACACTTCAACATCTTTTTCTTTTCTCTTTTGGGGGTCGATTCTCTTTCGGACAGTAAGAGAGTTGTCCCTCTCTTCTCTTTGTCTGTACTTTTCTGTTTTAATGTAGAGAGACCTTTTATTGTCTCAGATGCGGTCATTTGGAACTCTGCTTCCTGATTTATGAATTCTTGTAGACTCAGCACACTCTCCTCACATCGTTTTTCATTCACCCATCGGTAGTACTTGGTCAATAATGCTTCATCTAGCTTGCGTTGGATGTTGATATAGAGGGAACCACCTCCTAGCTCACTCTTCTGTCCAGCTTCCATTATGTTCACTACTATTGAGTCCACCAGCTCAGCTAACAGTTCTATGTCTCTAGGGTGGTTGTCTCGGACTTGTCTGAATCTGTCCAATTCTTCTAATCTCAAGGTGATTTGTCTTCGTTTTCCACCATACTTTCTTTCTAATCTGTCCATTGCTACATTATAGGCAGTAGCTGAATAACCCAAGTTCTCGACAACTTTTAACGCTTCACCTTGAAGGCTGTTGTGTAATCGTAGGAGCTTGTACTCTGGAGTGCAGGTAGTGCGGTCCACACATGAAAGGAATGCTGCTTTCCAGCCCTCGTACGTTTTCTTATCGCCATTAAACTTTGGAATATGTACCCTTTCTAGAAGCCTTGACGAATCAAAACTGACCGACTCCACTGTGCTCGAGTCCTGGATATTTCTGGGTTGGAAAATCGGGGCTGTAGGTCTCAGCTCACTTTTGACTGGTCTCACTGAAGACATGTCCTGTCTGAATGGCGTAGATGACACAGGCTGATACTGTTTTTGTGGTACTTTTTTCTTCTGTTCCATCTCTAACTCAATTTCTGGGTCTGTTTCATGCATAACATGCACTGGCTGTGCTTCGGCTTGGGCTCCCTTTGGCTTTACACTTGGCAAAGGGTTAATGACTTTATCAATCTGAGCCTTTTCTTCTATCTGATTCTGACATTTTTCTGTTCTGGTCGGCATAGGGTTAACAGGGTTAATCTCATGCTCCATTCCCTCTATTTGCTGTTTAATTGTTCTGGGTATTGTTCTGGGAGGTAAAGGGTTAATAGGGCTTATTTCATGCTCTATGTCTTCTATCTCCTGCTTTACTGCAGCAAAAGTTTCTTCTAATTCAACTGTCAGTCGATGAATTTCTTCTTTTATAGCTGATTCTTCTTTACTCAAGTTCTTACTGACCTTAGGCGTCTGCTTGGGACTAGGGGTTGACCTGGTTAACATGAGATCATTCATGATCTTTTCCAGATCTCTGTAACGCTCCTCTGTCGCTTCTAATTCAGCAGTAGTGGCTGCAATTTTATCTACTTCTCCCCACCTGTCCAGCTGGTAAAGTAGTTCATCACAGCTTATTACATACTGTTCAAAAACCAATGTTATTTCTCTGAATTTCTGCCTGATTATAGTTTTTTCTGTCTTTTGAGGCATATTTTCTATCCAGTTTTCAAACTCACTGGCTGCGGCAACAAAGGCTGTTCTGGCTAGCATCTTCTTTGTTTTCAAACTCATGGTCAATTTAGACTGTCTGTCTACTGTAATGCCTTTTAAATTTTCTGTTGTTCTTTTAAAAAGTTCAACCTAGCTCTGCTACCAAACAATGTTCTGGATTAATCCTCCAGTGCAATAAAAATTAAAGCACAAGTGTTCCTTCTTTGTTCTATCATAGTTCTATTTTATTGCCACAATACAATGCATTAAAAAGGTACTTGTAACAACAGGTGTTTCACTTTAACTGTCACTGAGTGGGAAATGTCTTTCAAAATGCTTTTAGTGTGCAAGGGTAAAAATTTTAAGTGCTTTTCTCTAGAACAATTTATCTGTGTTATCGAAATTTATCATGGGACTAAATTAATGCGTTGGGTTTATTTCAACTTTGATATCTTTCGAGTGCAAGAGCACTGTAATGCATGTAACCTATATACTTTACGAACTTGACTAAAATGCAAAGAAACTTCAGATATGATGAGTGACATTCGTCCACTACTAGAAATATATATAATTGTTCCCACTTCAAAGTAAACTTTAAATCAAATTAATGATTCAAAAGAACGTGCGTGAGCTCGCTCTCGTGCACACGCGCGCGTGTGTGAGATAGAGTTGCGAACTTACAAAAATCGCTTAGACAGTCGCCTTGAAAGAAAATGGTAAAAAGAAAAAATTGAAAGAAATACAGATAAATTGGGTCGTAGTAAATTCTACTCGCCCCTGGATGCAGACGCTGAAGACAGGACGGGTATCAATTACAACAAACTGGGGTGCCGCATTCTTTGTCAATATTGGGTAACCGCTGACCAGATAAGTTTTAAAGTTCCGGCTAAGGTCCTAAGTCCAAGGACAGCGACAAGAGTCTCTAATTAAGTTCCGGCTAAGGCCTCCAAGTCCAAGGGCAGCGACAAGAGTCTCTGATAAAGTTCCGGCATCTGTCATCAATCGTCTGTCAAGGACGTTAACACCTCATTAGCCGCCTCTGCGACTTTTATATTTTTAAAACTCTCTGATCACTGGTTTTCTGGTCAATATTCATCGCCAGTTTGAGGTAATGTAAAAAGTTGTCAGTAACCAGTCAGTAATGGATTCAATAGTTTATATGTATTTTAGTTACACATTGTCTCTTTTATCTTTTTTTATAACAATCATTAATGCCTTTGAATACAGGTCAAGCATGCAGAACTATCTTCGGACTGACCATGCAGGGGCGGATCCAGGATTATTTGAAAGGAGGGGGGAGGTCCAGAACGAAAGGCCTCGGACTCGAAGCCGACCATATCCCCCTTGGCTTGGGGTTCGGGGCCTGCTCAAGGGCCCCGAAAAATTTTTCATGTTATGGAGAGCAAACAGTGCCCTATGCTATGGTTAAGAAATAGGATTTAGCTAGTTAAAATTCTAATTTCAAGAGGGGAATATTGGTGTGATACATTTTTCAGAAACCGGAGGGGGGGGGGGGGGGTGTTCGGACCCCTCTGACCCTCCTCTAAATCCGCCACTGCCATGTGTCGACAAGAACGTAAAAAATAAGCTAAAATTTTAAAGCTCATTATTTTCATCTTAAATTTATTTCTGCAGAAATAACTATCAAAATGAAAACCACAAAAAGTAGCCTTGGAAAAAAAAAACGAACATGAAACAAACTTGATACACCTCCGAAATAAATGTTTGATTAAAACTTAATATATGCTGTTACTGTACGTTTGTCAAAAAAAAAATTGACGTACCTTCACTTTCACCTATGGTCAGCAAAATTACCCCGATGACACACAGAAATACAATTGTCTTGTCCATTTTGTTCTGTTGTCAATCTGCTTAAGATTGTCTTTAAGGAACTATATCGCAATTTGAAATACAAAGACCCATGCGATATCACTTTTATAAATACCAGACAGAGGTTAACGGTGACGTCATAAAGGTCAACTTTTATGTGTCGCAACCGCAGTACACACAATGTGAGACATCTCGATAGGAGATTCACCCTCGACTTTACTCGAAGGTATTCAGGTATGGAAATATTTGAAATAAATTATATTACTTACGTCCAAAATGAACGTTTTCGTTTACAAATCGCTTGTTACAGTTCATAGAAACCCATAGCTTACACTACTTTTGTTGAAAGTTTAAAGCAACACACGTCGAATATTAGAAACAATTTTAATAAGTAGTCTGTACCCCCTGTTGAATGGACTCGCCCAAATCCGCTTTGCCTGCCTACCTTCAGGGAATTCCCAACAAATTCTCCATAATCGCCTTCCAAGAAAAAGGCATTTTTATGGTATTTACAGGTAACCCTTCACACAGATATTCACTGTCATTAGTTCTATACTTTCTATACTATCTTTACAAAAGGTGGTTACCATATCAGGGAGCCGGAAGTGAGACAAATACCCACCCCTAAAGGTAGCTGTAATTTCAAAGATAAAATGAAGTTTATGATACAGGTAGAAATGAATATGAATACAATAAGAAAATGATAGAGATGATTTTTATGTTAAAAAAGGCGGGGATTATCTACTTAGTGAAATACATAGGTCATTAATTGTTTATCATTTTTTCAGTCATAAAAATTACAATTAAAAATGAAATAAAATGAAAAACAGATTAATAACTAATAAATAAAGTGTCTTAAGTGCTTGATGATTAGAGCAGTGGGCAAAAGTATATGAAAATTGAGAACGAAGAATCAAAATTGCCGAGAACGGATCCAGGATATTTAGAGGTCAAATAATTGGGGTTTCTGACGAAAAATTTGGCTGATGGCTGCTTATACGAGACGTGCACTCCTGAATATAATAAATGGAAGGGAGATTCGTCAACCCGGAAGAAGGGCAGGGCGAATTACTTGTTCTGTTTCAAATTTGGGATCGGTTGGTGTCGTGTGTGCACCCTTGAATGTGATATCCTTGTTTGCAGTAAACATGAGAGTATGGTGAGGGGCCGGGTATACTGATAAGAAATGTTTGACGTAACTGGTAGGATAAGAAGAAACAAAAGGTGTTTGGGAAATTAATAGGTTCTATGCATATCTCAGTTGATTAATTTCAAGTGCATGGACGCCTCAGGTACGCTAAATGTTGTGTGCGTAGGCACGCTCTGTGGCAGCATTCAGAACAGAGGACTAACATGTCCGCGGATCAAATATGGCCGACCCACTTGAATGCTTGTTGCGTCATACCCGCCAGGAATCTATAGTGATAGTGTCAAATCGGGAATTAAGCGGCAAAGCTTTTTAATGGGTAGCAATATTTGATCCTCGGATATGTTAGTCCGCTGATATGAATGTGCTCTATGTGTGTGCGTGTGTGTGTGTGTTTGTGTGTGTGTGTGTGTGTGAGTACGCGCACATTTGTTGGTTTGATAATTTTGTTTTCAGTGATAAAAGGCACATAGTTTTTACACGACTAACAATCATGTGTACGTTAATGCTTATACAAGGTGACCCCAGTGCATTGGTTTTCTAAAGCGGATTTTACACTCAATAGTAATTCGGATTTTAAACTCCTTTATAATGCCAAAGCGGAAGATTAAAAGTTCACTCTTAAAAATAGGTTCTAAATGAGGGTCTTGTCACATTATTAAATAGAAATTAGGGACATTTTTGAGACGGCGGATATTTGAAGACTACATGTAAATTGACCGAACGGTTTTTAAAATTAAAATTCCAATTAATTAAAATTCCAATTACTGAGGCGTGAGCGGTGGCCTTAAGATTACCGCTTTCTCTTAGAAATTCGAAGCCAAAAAGAGTTTCAGTAAATTTTTTCTGAACGCATCACTTATATTTAATGTTTTCATTTGATTTAGCTTTATATATAGATGTACAAAATGGAGATAATGTATAGAAAAAAGTATGAAAAGTATGGAAAAATATACAACAAGTAATGCAACATTTCAAATCTTGAAACTGTGGTACATTCAGTAAACACGGTGACTCTCGTGGTCTTTCAGGAAGTCATTTTATAAATAAATACATACAATGCCAGGCATTGTTACAACATGTGTCTTTTGAATGTCACATGAGAACTACCAATCGACGATGATGGTGATGATGATGTAATCTCTAATACCCAGTGTGAAGAAGGCAAGGCAATGATATAGCAAACTGTGGCAAAATGCAGTAGTTGAGACAAATTCCCTGAATGCGTTGGATGTGACAACTGGTATGCACAGCACGTAGACCTATTCTATTCTTGATAAACCTTATGACAGGAATATGTGCACAAGGTCGTGTGCCTAGTTAAATCTCCCTGAGAAGTAGTATTACTGCGCCTCTCACTACGCCTCTCACTACGCTTGTGATATGGTTATATTCGTTTCATTTTCCGTCTGTGAATTTAACCCGATTTCTGTATCGGAAGAATTCATTTGATTTTTCTTCTTCCTTTTAGTCCTCTCTCCATTGTCTTTATCATTACAGCAGCTGCAGTGGTCCTTGCAGATGGCGTAGATGCAGAACCCCATGGCAACGAGAAAGACCAGCCCAAAAATGATGCCTAAAACTATGCCAGCTTGAGCGTTTGCATCAGCGTTAATGGAGCCAAATAGCCGCATACCGCCTATTCCGCGACCTACAATGGAAACAGGGGCACTCATTTCTCTTTTTTAAGAGTCAATAATGAAATAAGTAAGATGATTTATAGATATATAATATGAACTTATAAAAATAATCAATTTTGCTACTGTAAACATTTAGATTCCGAATTAAAAGTATATGGTTTCTAAAATATAGAGGATAAGAAACAAGTTAATATAGAGATAAGAAACAAGTTAATAATAATAATAAACATTGTGGTCAATGAACTACGAATTGTACATTTATACATCTCTATTTTTCATAGAATTGAATAAAGGTATTGCAAAAAGGTAAAAAAAAAAAAAAAAAAAAAAAAAAAAAAAAAAAAAAAAAAAACATTTTAATTCCGGAAAAGTAAAGTTAATGTCTCATTATGGAAGTACAGTATTAAAACTAACAAGTTCGAACACTTACTTTCTACCCCACTGGCAGTTATTGCAACGTAGCATAGGAAAACTAAAATAAAAGTAAATAAACCCATGTTAAGGGTGTTTGTTCCTGGTAACTACTGATAAATCCACTCTACTAAACTGACTGGAAAATGCGAGACCTTTAAATAACACGCTACGGAAATTGATCAATCTCTTATGAGTCACATCGCATTGCTCTCAGCTTTCATAGCGGTGACGTCTATTGCGTAAATATTACTATTCAAGGAAAAGTGAATGTGGCGTTACGTCATAGGAAAAGATGAACCAATTTTGTCACGTACCAGGTATTTACAATTAACCTCGCAAGTACAATATTGTTATAAATAACGGAACAGAGGCAACACATTGCACTTTGATTCACGACTTCTAAGATTATTATTCCTTACGTTCGTGTGTCTGGTATTTATTTATAGTAGGCTTAAGTGTTGGAAAAAAAATGAGTAGAACACATAACAATGCAAGGAACGTATATAATTTTTGCTGGTACAAAACCTGCCGTACCTGTGTTAGTGCTTGTATTCAGCAGCCCCTGCCGTTTTATCATCCATGAAGTGAAGAGTTTTTTACCCTTCTGAAGCGTCCAATTTTTTGTATTTTGAAAACTGCGCACCCTGGTTCACTGAAAACTTTGCCGATCCGTAGTAAAATGAAAAGTTAAAATTACTGCACTATTACTGCAAACTAAACGTCTGCGGCAACGAGTTTCCAGCAGTTTGTAAGAAAAATTGTATTGCTGCTGCTTTGCAGCCATATTGCATCAAATTTGATGCAAATTTATATAAAGGAATCGCAATTTGCAGAAATATTGCAACAAATTTGCTGCAAATTTGCAGCAGGTCGGATAGTGTGCTAAGGGGGTGGGGGGGGGGAGGGTACTGAGGGCAGAGAGCAGAGGTTACACATGCAGCGGCGGATCCAGGATTGTTTGAAGGGGCGGGGTCCGGTTTCAAGGTACGACAGGCCGTGGATGCGAAGCCAACCATGTCCCCCCACCCGCCTTGGCGTGTGTTTTCCGAAATATTATGGTATTTTTAAGAGCGAACGGTGCCATTTGGTACGGTTTAGAGCTATGATTCAGCTAGTCAAAATTCTAATTTTAATTGGTGTGAATTTTTTCAGAAATCGAAGGGGGTTCAGGACTCCCCTGACATCCCCCCTAAATCCTCCACTGACCTATGAACCACAGGATAGACAAGACGACCTTGCATTCAAATTGTAAGCGGATCTGAAAAAAACGTGCAGACATTGTCAGTTTGACCTCGACGTGACTCCTTTCGTCCCCGCATCAGTGCCCCTTAACTCTGTCCTTCGGGTGCTTTACGCCACAGCTAATCCACTAAGTACTATGCGCTCTTACCACAGGTTCCGTTTGAAATGTATATAAATGTGTGAATAATTTTATATAACTGGTGGTGAATGAAATATATAAGAATCACAACTTATATGAAAGATATATAAGAACCAGTCTGTTGGAAAGGAATTGTTTCGGGCTATAATTTAATTTTGTTTACTATTTTAAAGGCGGTGATATCAGAGGGAGAAAATCCGCATTGTACAATATAGATATTTACATTTAAAAAATAACAAGGCACACCACTTAGCTGCCATTGAAATGATATGTACTGTTCAGTATGCCTTTAAGTTTTCTGTCAGCTATTTTTTAACAGATAGAGAAAAAAGGACATTTAAAAGGACACGGCGGTGCTAATTTCTTTGAACACGGGATATACATGCTTGAAATAGACACGAGAAAAAAAATATGCATTTGGCCCCTCTTACCGTTTAATACTACTACAAAGCAACTAAATAAAACGTAGGCCAATCTTAAGTTATGGCAACCCTCTTTGCGCTACATGTAGGTGGTGGCGGAGTTTAAAAAAAAAAAAAACGCCTAGGCGTACATGCAGGTAATGGCTTTTTTAATTTCCACAAATCACACTGTGATCTCGGGTCCAAGCTTGGGATGTCACTGTCCTCTGTAACGTGGTCCAGAATTAATCTTCTTGATAATTAAATGAGACAAAGCTCAGATCTTTTTCTTCTTGTGTGACTTAATTCTTTTGATTAGTCTGCCTTGGTCGGAATCGTATTTCTCTTATTGTTATTTTACTTATATCGCCACATGTATCCAGAGTTTTTGCTATGTCTGTGTCACTGTCATCAAAATAACTTTCTATCTATCAAATTTCGTCTCTAGTGCAGGTGAACCTGAAAAAGTTAAGACACGTGCGTGAAAGAAACGCCTCCTCATGTCCAGCGAGATAGAACGCACTAAATATAGTACAGGTAGGTATCAACCCTGTTTACACCAAAACTTGGTCGATCAAAACGCCCTTGATGTCCCATTGACTCGTGCTTATTGACTAGTATTTATAGCACTACAGAAATAGAGATACATTTTTTGCTCTGTTTAATAATTACATAAAAACTTTTGTGGCGAAGGGTAGGGGGGGTCCATAATTCCAAAAATATGTCAAAACCAGCTAAAAAGTTCCTTACACACCTAAAAACAATGTTTCAAATGTTTTTTTTGAAAGATCATTGATAACTCAGCTGCTACTTGCATTTTATGATTACGCGATTTTTAGCATTTGAGCGCGATTTTCAGATTTTCTACTGTTTCGGGTCTGTCTTCCTACAACATGGTTGAAAATTATATAGGCCTGAAAGTTATTTCAAACTCACCAAAACCAAATAGATGGGGTTTTTTTATTTGGTTTTTAAGAAATTTGTGTAAAAAAGTTTATTTGAAAGGTAGCTAAACACTCAAAATTCTGGCGGCATTGACACCTTATATCAAAAACATCATCATGGTCATTCGTTATTCATAGTTTTGATGACATTTTTCAAGTTTTAGATTTCTCATGATTTCATTATATTTTTATCTATGCTGTATTACTGAATGACTAGCTGGACAATGACTGCATCTGCTATCTAGCAGTGGAACCAGTAGTTGCAGTAAATCTCTGCTAAGTAAATCAGAAGTAGAAGATTTATTGGACATTAATCCTGTAATTAATAAATTCGAGAAAGAGAAGCTGCCAAATTATAAGGAGGTAGTTGGACTTGTCAGAAAATACTCTGAGGAAGGCTATTCCTTTGAGAATGCTATTGCAGAAGTATCTTCTATACTCTATGAACATTGGGTATTCAGAAATGTGTATTCTATCACTATTCCTGGAATCGAGAAAAGTTTGACCAAGCAAATTGATGAGTTCCGCACTGTAACTAGAACTGATAAATGTAAGAGAGGATAGAAGTGGACAATGATGGCATCTAGCAGTGGAACCAGTGGTTGCAGTAAATCTCTGCGAAGTAAACCTGAAGTAGAAGATTTATTGGACATTTATCCTGTAATTAATAAATTCGAGAAAGAGAAGCTGCCAACTCATAAGGAGGTAGTTGGACTTGTCAGAAAATACTCTGAGGAAGGCTATTCCTTTGAGAGTGCAATTGCAGAGGTATCCTCTATACTCTATGAACATTGGGTATCCAGAAATGTGTATCCTATCACTATTCCTGGAATCAAGAAAAAGTTGACCAAGCAGATTGATGAGTTCCGCACTATAACTAGAACTGATAAATCTAAGAGAGGGCAGAAGTGGATGGGGCGATATGAAAAGTTTTCCTCACTGAAAAACAATCTGTTTGATGTCTTTTGTGAAAACAAGGTCCAGAGAGAAAAATTGGAAGAGAAATATTCTGTGCCCATGCTTCAGGAGGATTTTGACTATCTTGAGTCCATGCGAGGGGATCGCAAAGGGAGATGTGAAGGAAAAGTTGATGCCAAATGGCACAAAGAGGCTGATAAAAAGAAATCTCAAAAAGAAAAATACATAAAATCCCAGACTGAAGCTTCAATGACAGTGTCATCATTGAACATTAGTGTGGATACTAGTAGTACAGATACTGATGATGACACCAGTTTCCAATGTTCTGAGACTTTGACTGTGCCAGTACCTGAAAACAGTGAAATAGGAAATAAACCACCAGTAACTGTTAGAAAGAGAGCAAGATACATAGAGGCAGATGATATTGTCGTAAGTAAACCAAATACAAGAAGTTCAGAGATGGGCTGTAGTGAAGAAGATGCTACTGGAAATAAGGAAATACCCGAAGAAATGCGCCATATTAGACATTCTGAGAGGACTGTTAGAGATGAAGTGTATTGGGCTATGGCAGAATTGGATGGTTTAGGTTTTTCCTATAGGGAAGCTCAACTGGCCATAGTAACAGTAGGAAATGTCTTATTTGGCACTAAGTGGAAACTACCTTCAGAAGCTCAGGAAAAAGATGAAACTCTTGAAAGTGTCTTTGATTGTGACACTTTACCAACCGAAAAGAATGTAAGAAGACAACTCAAGAACATAGAAGCATATAGTCTAAAACTTGTTGGTGATAAAGTGATGGAGGCAAAAGATGCTGGAGCAACTATCACACATGCAACTGATTCTACAACACGAAAATATGTAGGATCATTTGCCCCAGCAGGGCTTCACATAAATAAGGATGAGTATGTACCTCTACCAACCTTACCTGTTGCATCTGAAACAACCAGAAATGTTGCTGACTCTATTGTGACAGACTTTAAACTGTTGGAAGCAGCATCGGGTCACAGTGCAGAGGACTTGTACGCTACCGTAGATGTCCACATGACAGATTCAACTGCACACAACAAAGGCATATCTGAGATACTGGCAGCTGAGTTCAATAGAGCTGAGAAAGCAGGCCAAATATTCTGTGACACACACACTGCACTAGGATTCGACAGAGGAATGAACAAACAAATACATGATATAGAAGAGAAAATGGGAATTGAAAACATATTCAGTACCTTTTTACTAGATGTTGATATCGATCAGAAAAAAGAGTCCGTCTCAATGACTGCGGTGTCATGGTGTCTGAATTTGTTTGGTCCTGACAATATCCAAAAGCCTTGGAATTACAACAAAGAATTCTGTCTCACTCTAAAAGACCAAGGTAAAGAAGTGAATCTGTTCCATCTTAAAGATGCTAGATTTGGAGCCATGTCAAAATCTTGTGCAATTATGTGCTATCATTGGAATGACTTTTATGATTTCTTAGAAGAGCATGAGTACATAACCAACAAACTAGCTTGTCTTGTAAGAGATGCTCTGGCATTGGAATATATCAGAATAGTTGCTGCTGTTGTAGCAATCATTGGCATTCAATTAGTTACACCGTTTCATGCCATAACAATATCCAAGGGTGCAACACACAGCAAATTGAAAGAGAAATTTCAATCATTACATCTAGAGCTGAGTAGAAATGAGGTAAATGAGAATTTCTTTCAGCTAGATGCTCCTGAGTTTTCCTGTTTCAACCAAGAATTATTCCAGGAAGTGAAAGATAACTATGGCCTACATGTAGTTGAGAGTGTGAAACGATGTGCTAGCGCACATCTAAATGAGTGCATAGCTTTGACAAAGAAGATATTACCAGAAATGGCAAAAGTTCTGGCTATGCAACGAGGAAAATACTATGGGTTTGGTGAATATCCAGCTGAATACCCTGTGTTTGATCAGTGTGAAAACATAGATGAGACCCCTGTCCACAACCTTCAAATGGAACGGCAGTGTGGTGACACGGATCAAAGATTGAGGAAGAAACCAAAACTAGAGGCTGTGGCTCGAGGGACTGTGCTAAAAGAAACTAGCAAATTAAGGAAAACTGTTTCTACTGAATACAGAAAAATGGGCCCTGTAGTTAAAGTAATGGACGAGATCAAACTAAAATGGAAGCAGGATCAAGCAGAGCTTCTAGCAATAGGAATATCAAACAAAGAAGCTCGTATGTTACGCATTGAAAACAGGAAGTTAAATATCCTTGACAAACTGAAGGGAAAGGGTGGACCCTTTACTTCTGAGGAGGAAGTTGATTATTACTTGAAGACAACCAAAGACAGCAGTAAAGAAAAGACACAAAGGATGAGGGACGAGGTCACATACGCTAGAGACACATCCTTATCACTGCCAAAATGTAGTCCTGTCTTCAGGATATTCAGTACTGATGGAGGGAAGAAAAGGATGTTAACTCCAGAACAGTTTGGAATGAACTTGAAAAAGTTGTTGGGAAAAAAGAAAGAAAGATCCACCATAACGCTGACTGACTTCCAAAAAGCATTGAATTCTTAGTGAATTGAATTCTCATTGAATTCCGGTCTTTTTGAACTTATTTAATGAATCATTATCAAGATGTTAGAACATTCAGTTTAGTTTTCATATGTATTTAGTCCGTCTTTATGTCAGAATTGTAAGTCACAATGAAATTAGTGTTAAAATGTAAGCATAAACATTGATATGAAAAACCATCATATCTTACAAAATACAGAGTTTAAGCATTTCAGCGATTTCTTTCCAAAATACTAAAACCCAAGTAGCAGCTCTGATAATAGAGATAACCTAATTTGGTTTTTTGTAGTTTGTTTTTAAGATGTATAAGCATCTTTTTAGGTGGTTTTGACACGGTTTTGGGGAAAAAGGGTATCTAAGGACCCCCCCTACGAAGGGAGTCAACGGGATACTCGACACGGGGAAAGTAAAGACAATTATGCGATAGGGCTCAGGCCCGTAGCCAGCAATTTCAAAGGGGGGGTTCTTTTTCTGAAAAAGTGGACCTTTTCCCATATAATCCCCATGTACCTAGGTCAAATTTTACCCAAAGTGGACCTTTTTCCAGCAAAAAGGGGGGTTCTTTCGAACCCCCCGAACCCCCCCTGGCTACGGGCCTGGGGCTATTAAATTATAATGACGTAATGAAAATTAACTAAAAAATGATTACCTTGTATTTGGGATAATTCTTTAACTCCTTATACTTGTGAAAGTGACTGCTCATACTGCTTGTGTTAAAAACCTCAGTACATGTACAGCTTGATTGTTAATTAAAAATTGGGATCGTGTTTGTATAATCTATGCATCTACATAGCGGAAGCTTGTATCTCAGAACGGCCTACTCGTTGCTGCGACAGTTACAACGGGATACTTTAGGACTGATTCATTGGAACCCGTGCGTTTTTAGGCTAAGTTAAAACTGCTCAACTCGGATAGGCGGCTACGTAAAGCCGATTTTGAGATATTTATTCGTCGTAAAAGGAGAGCAATATCCACTGGTAAGCAGTCAAAGTTAAGTTTTGGGACAAACTTAAAGGAACGAAAAACAAAACGATGTTAGCGGTCTTTTCTATTTTTATGTGAAACGAAACTAAGTCGACTTAGATTTGTCAGCTTAAATCGATTAAATTTTCCCTAGTCAAATGAAATTTATCACCTAAAATAGATATGTGATCAACCGATGACTAGTGATTCGTTCAGTAACGAAAACGCTAGCACCGGTGTAACTCCTAACTATGAAAGTACAATAAAACCAACTTCTTCAATCGTAAGCTATGGAGGGTCGCTGTGGAATGGCTGTTCTCTGCCCAGCTGTAACGTAAGGTCTATATGAGGGAAAGGAAAACACAGAAGAACTCAGAAGCGACGGTTCACATCGATAAGAAGCCTTATATAACAACAGTAATCGTAGCAACACCTTTTCCCCTTGTAAACCTTTGACAACATGGCCGCAAAAAGCGGCTCCACCAACTCCTGTCACGTTTCATAACATGCATTGTGATACTGGTTATACGTTGTGTCATCAGCTGCATAGTAAGAATGATCCATTTGCATTTCTGGCGCATCAATTGTGAAGACAGGTCTGTCTGCTGTGTTCTTTGCATGGTGACCAGAACGAGACTTTGCTGCTACGTCTTCTGTGACGTCACTATCGGACTCGTAAGGGTAATGGGATGTTGCACAGAGGGGCTTTGCGCGGTCTCGAGCTTTTGACATGTGGGCATCACTCATTTCGTCAGTATCTGAATCTGTAGTATAGTAATAAGATTTGCATTTGTTATTTCGGCATTTACACGGATTCCTTGCCACGTCATACTGGCACGTGACGTCACTTTCAGAACCGTCTCCGTCCATTTCGTCATCAGCGTACTCGCTTTCGGTATCCCCGCGCTCAGAATCGCCGTCGCTGTTAATTCGCACTTTGATCTCTCTTGGGTGCTTGTGTCTTAACCTGTGTTTTGAAGGTCGAGGAGGGTTAGTAGTAAATGCCAAGTGGACCTCATGTTTTGTCAGCTGTTGCGAGGACGGGGATTGCACTGGGGAGTTTGGTTTCTTCTTGACGTGACGACAGATGGTTCTTCTGCAGCAGAGGACGACAAGTCCCGCCAGCACTATGGCTGCGACTATTGGGATGAATATGATACCGACTGTTGAGATCCCACCCACTTCTCCTGAAAAACCACCTGAAAGATAGACAAAAATCCATGGAGATAAAGAGTTACAGCTTGGATACGTTACACTATTTCATATCATGCCTTTGATCCATTTCGTTTGATCGGAGACTTACTAATAGCCATGCCATTCTTATTTCTGATTATCTCATTGGCTNGTCCAGTGATAGGCTCCCCTCCTCCACACGCGCATTCGCTGCAGGGGCCTTGCAATAAAACCCCAGAGCTGAGATTTTATCCGTTTAATGGCTCGTGTGGAGGCGGGGAGACCACTAGGAGATTAAGCGGCTCTGCTTTTAAGTTCGGTCGGCCATATTTAGTGGGCTGATCAGTTGGTCCTCGGATCATCTGTTCTGAATGGCCTCTTAGTGAACTTGAGCAGCAAAAAATCGTTTTGATGGTGATGATTAGAACGTTTAGGGATAGTCGAAGTATTGGGGTTAGTATATGGGACGAATGTCACCTGTACAAAGTAATGGGGATCGGATTACGGTTCCTACTAGTAGCCGACTACCTACCATTCCTGTCACATCGGAACCCAAACGCTATGGTAAGGAGAAGTTAAGGGCGGCGGGTATGGGGGTGGTCTAATCTTGCTGAATGAACATGAGCTTGTTCCGCAGAGGAATAAACAGAAAATTCCACTCGTTCCAAATGTCTGCATACTCATGCTACAAAATTACCCTGTGTAGACAACAAACCTAAATTTAAGTGACCATCAATAACTTTCTGACAAATTGTAACACATTTATTGCTTAAACAATACGTTTGTGTTGGGGACATCGCCTTCCAGCGAGCCATATGTCCCTCTTCAGTGACACTTACAACCCTGTTTTTTTCTTTTGTCACAGTCATCAATGGAAATGTTTTTTCCTTGTCATCAAATATTTCCCGCTACCTCCCTGTTTATCCACTGTCAGTTATTACGATGTTCATGCTATGCTCAGGTTGGAGCATAGAGATTTCAGCGAGTCTGAGACTGAGACTCGACTGAGTGAAAGGCCGGTTCGTAGTTCTACATGTATACTACTACAGTAGTGGTAATAGTAGTTGTAGTTATATTTTCTATAATTGCTGTATGTATGTATACATTATGATATAGCGAGCAGAATTACACATGTTACGTGTTATACATGTACAAGTAGATGTAGGCGTGTAAGACCTAGAGGCCTTTATAGAAATGAAATAATAATAATAATAAAACAACTAGATAATAAACAAACAAACAAATAAATAAATAAAAACTTCAAATGACCCAGCAGTTACGGAGGCTTTTTAACTGTTCCCACGTTGCTGGGGGGATAAGCTAATGAACTCAAGGAGGCATGTTTAAGATAATTACACTGAATGCACTTAAGCGAAAATCCCCTTCAGAGTTGGATTGATTCAGCTGGTTCGATGTTTGAATCTGAACGCAGTCATAAACGAAAAATGCAAACGAAAACGCAAAATGATATGAGGTCCACCAAGTAAGGTGGTTCCAAGTTAAGTGAAGCCAGGCCTTAAGTCACTCTTGGGTTGTTGTGAATTTTTGAAAGAGAGGTTTCGAATGTACTCGTATGCATAGAAAACATTTCATCACGTCCAATCTGAATAAACCAATGCTGAACAAAGTGATAAATTACAAGGATTGACGCATAAAACGTACAAAGGCCAAAAATTACAATGTGGGACAGCATAAATCAGTAGCAGTGGCCCAAAAACTATTGGCAATTTCTTGCTAGTTTTGAGAAAACTTGTTCATTTTCAGTGGACTACTGCCACCATCTACCGAGCCACAGACATATTTTTCACTGGATATTTTCACAGATATTTTTATGCACTTAATTTTCAATCCAAGCAAAGTAGTTAGAAAACCTCCAGATACATGTACTGATCTAGATAAAGATCTGAAGTACTTTGACAATTTGGTTTCAGTCGATCCTTTACTTCTTTTAAGAACGTGTGGTCATTAAAATGTGTGGTCATTGTCACTCAACTGTCTGCAACCTTTTAAAGTTAACGACTGAGCTTTGTGTAAGAGTTGAAGATTATTATCCACTGCCAGTAAATATGTGAAACAGTGAACTAAGGCGATTAAGATAGTTTTACATACCAGGAACAATTTAACAATTAACAATTTAAACGTCCCGTTTGCATGTAGGAGCACGTGTAGTTCGTGACAAGCTGACTGCCGTGACACACAAATTAAGTTTATATTATGGTTGAAATACTAGTGTTAAATCAAGATCGCAATATTCTTATGGTCTCATCTGAGTGAACCTTCATATAGGGGCCGAGGCAATGCATGTACACGCTTGCCTACTTTACGAGGCCACCAAGGTACAGTACTTACCCACTGTTCTGAGCTTTCTTATTTCGTTCATAGAATTAACAACAGAATTAATAAGAATCTCGCAGAGTACTTACTGTCCTGTCCCAGCGAGAAATCGATCACACAACAGCTAAAAACAAAGAGCAAAATGGCGTTCGTTTGAGACGACATGATTTCGCTTTAACAGCCTCGGTGCGCGTCTGCCCCACTTCTAGCCAACTCACTCGACAGACGCTGGTTACCTTGGCGCTAGCTGACAATAAAATGGGTTGAGTTAAGGTTAAACGCAGTCCCGCGTTGTTGAGTGTACAAAGCGTAAAATGAGGGGTGATTATAAGGGTTAAGCAGATATGCTGTGGGACTCTGAAACCACGTGAGGTGAGAGCGTCCACGTTTGTTAAGAACTTGCTTGGTTTGTCTAAGGACGAATTATTCGTCCACGGTTTGTCTAAGGAAGGGATGCTTGAGCATAAATACTTTTCTCCATTGTTGACATACAAGTGTGATAAGTACGTTATCTTATTGTCCCTGTACTACGTACTGATCAGAGAAGAAGGACAGGGGAGATCAGAGAGATGACGCTCACTATAGCTGTACCGTGTATGAATAATTTAAATGGCAAATAACACTGTTTTTTTTTTTTCTATTTATATCACAGCACTTTTTGTGTGCATCTTTTCTTCAACCCACATTATTTCTAGCCTCTGCACCCCCGCTGCTTTGGTTTCTTTGTCTACTTTTTTATTTTTTTTATTTGGCGTCTCTCTCTCTCTCTCTTTCTCTCTCCCTCTCTCTGCGTATTATATCCTCATACAGACAATAATCTTCAGTCATTATATCACACTTGACACATTATGCAGCGTCTAAGATAAATCGGACCAAAATTAACAAAATAAAAAAATAAAATGGGTCTGAAACGTGTGTTGACACGTGTGCCTGTTCACACTGTTTGCTTGGTGGAGCAACCTTATGTCTAGCTCGATCCATGTTTTGTGCAGTCTCTTTTCAATTTTCTAATTAGAGTATAAATACATTTTCGTTACTGCGAAGATACAGATCAGAAGAAAAAATAATAAAAAACTTGGTACATGCTCTGATTCGTCTCATGGCGATGTTTTTATCAGTCTTTGTGTGAGAGAGAAAGTTCAAACCATGATCGACAAAAAAGTAAGGTCCCGTGTAACCGCTCCTTTGAAAAAAAAAACCACTCCGCCGCGTGTCAGAAGGGCAGCCATTATATTGGGGCGACTATGCACGTGTTTTGGACATCGTGGCCATGGGACCTAAGTCAACAGTTCAGTAATAATATTGCCCAAACACCGGGTTCGATGATTAATGGAATCCTTCAAATACTGTGACGATATGATGTGGGTTTTCTAGTGAAATGAATAGAAATATGACAACGCTAGCAATTTAGTAAGGGTATTTTCAACAGTGCGTATTTACCAAGAAGAAAAAATTAATGAACATTTTATACAGGATAGATTCCTAGACAGGCGGTTGTTATCTATTATGTGCAATAAATACGCAATGAATCTTTAGATTGAAAAAATACGGTATGTGAAGATAGTGCGTCATAATTCATAACTGACGGTTGTCCGCAGAATAAGTTTTAACCACAGGGACAGTCTTTCGTGTACCAACAAGTATTTAGGTTAATACCACACGCCGGCTGACAATAAAAGTCAGAAATGAACTGAGCTTCTTATCAATATTTTAAACGAAAAAAATACAACACGAAGCTTGTGTACCACCAGTAGTATCTTTGGTTTACCGTGGGGTAGAATGTGTCCGCAAACTTTTCATCATTTGACGCAAACGAACTTATTAGATAACGTTTTTATTAAAAAATATATAAAATATATAAATTATTGCAACAAGAATGAGTGTGGAATGTCTTTCAGATATGATTAACAATCAAACAGATAAAGGACGCACCGTTGAAAAGGGGTGTGCGCTGATGATGAATTGTTTTAGTGTTTTTAATACTTTTTAATATTTAGATATCCCCATTTACACTTATTTGGAATTAACTAGTTTGCTTAATAAAAATCGAAACAGCTGTAATAAGGCCAATATAAGGAAGCTCTAATCGTTAAAAAAAAAAAAAAAAAACGAAAATTCCCGAAAAATACAATTACTGTCATATTTCACGTAAATACACGTGGCACCAGCAGTGAAAATACATATGTGAAAATTCCCTGTCAGTTACTAATGCTTTTGTCAGCTGCAGCTCTACATATGTACGTTAACATGTCCAACTCTACGGAGAGGTGCAGAACAAGGGTTGCCCTTAAGCCTTTTAATATGACACTTCGGTTTTCATAATAAAATCAATTCTTACCATTTTGCTTAAAAATCTTTCACCTCTTTTTGGCACTGTAAGTATATAGAAATTCGAGAACGAGTATTATAAGTCCATATTGCAATGATGAAACCTCCCTCGTCCTAGCTTCACTGCGTCCCCTTATAATGATTATTGCAATGCAAAAGCATATAAATTAATCACATGGAGAAATCCCTTTCTTCCTTCGATATCCCCTTTGTTCTTTGAGGCTATTAAAAGACACAAACTTAACTAAAACTTTTCAGAGGGGAATTTGTAATTGTCTACCACCAGATCACAGATAAAAGTCATCATAAGATGTGAGTACGTGCCATTTTTTCAGTACACTTCGTAATTTGCGCAGTAATCCTGATTATACGACGTATCTCCCATTCCACTGTGGCCGGTATTATCAAACTGGTAAGTCATTTGAGGCATGTCAACAGTATACACAGGGGAAATCACATCATTCGCGTAATATGACGTAAAATGATTGTTCCCTTGGTAACCAGTGTTGTCATCATTGCCACCATACGTCACACATTCACTGACGTCACCACATGTGACGTCATTATGGACGTCACCCTCGCATTCACCGTTTTCCATGTCATTTTCGTTGTTTTCCGTTTCACCTGTGTCTTCTTCCTCGCCTTCTTCCTCTTCTTCTCCATCTTCACCCTTGGGTTTCTTCATTTTGAACTTCTTAGGTTTTTTTGGACCGCCAGCTGGCTTCTTTTTAGGTTGGGTCTTTTTGATAAGGAGGCAAGGAAATTTGTTAAAAATGTAATGTATGGTGACACGAAATGATGAATAAACCTATATGAAACACCCGAAACCATAATATTGTTTAAAAGCTATTCAAATTAATATTCTTCTAGTACAGAGAAATCTCAAAATAGACGTAAAATAAGTCTATCGTCTGGTGATGTCATTCAGACCTAAACCAGGTTAGGTTTGTCTCAGTGTCTGATCATAACTGTATATTAAAACTTGTTGAGAGCTGGATTATCACTTCCTTAGTATTAAATAACAGGATATTGTGTTTTAACATACTTTGTGGACTTTCACGACAGGTGGCGGTGCGGGTCGCCGTCTCCTGCTACTCGAGTCGCAGCATTTTTCCTTGCAGAAGGCGTAAAACAGACCAGAGAAGCCTAGGAGAGCAGCGACCACTATCATCACTATAGCATACGTTGGGAATTCTTCTTCTTCTTCAGCTGAGAAAGAAAATGTATTTTGCTGTGATGATATTCTCCTATTCATTTATGGACCAACCCCAGCCTTCCTAAGAAGCCAAATAATGAGCTGCTTCCCCACCTTTTAAATTCAAGTCATTACAAATACAGTCTGCACGTGCCGTATCGACCATTCTTTTATTTTTTAAATCAAGTGGTTAAACGCTATATGACACCTTATTCCTTACTGAATTATTGTCATAATCTTCTACATTAATCAGTTAAATCAAATAACAGACAAGAAATAGCCCCTTCCGACTTTCTGGGACACCTAAAGAAGTTGTTGCTTATTCCGAAGTACTCGTACCACCACAATGGGCGATCTCAATTATTATATCAGGTGTAACTTGCATTATTAATTCAATAACATGGCATACAGAAAAAATAAAGCTGTAACAACTGTGTACTAGTACCAATGTATGTAATCGTACTCACCATTCTGTCCATAAGTCCCGTCAAACGCAAAATTACACAACATAAACAGCCAAACAACAGTTTTCGTCGTCATCATCCTTCATCAACTCCTAACTCGTTGAATAATGTTCAGTATTATGGCTATCCCAGTACGAGCGGTATTGCTTTGACCTGACCTGAAAATAGGGAAGGATGTCGAGTGTTGACATATGACTCACGTTTACTATCATACTTCGCGGAAGTAATTCAAGGTTACAATGACGTCACTGATAGGTGAGAAATGGGAGTGACAAGGACAAGTAGGTCATTGCCTTCAATTTTGACAGCTAATTGTCCCCTCTAATAAAATGTAATAGTACAGTGTATGGGGCATACGCATGTACACGTAGTGTATATCACCTGTTTAGTATCTAAGTAGTTCTGATAGATTTACGGAAAAGGCTGAACGATGAACGTTGTGCCCATTAATCTAAAACAGTAAACAAGTATTTATTTGTCTGTTTACGTGTACATGTGTACGAGTGTTTATGCATTCTTTCGTTGGGCAGTTTCTTTATTGGTCGACTTAACTTCATTTCATTCAACGTTTTATTTTTATATTTCGGTTTTATAAAACGTACTAGAATAAAGTAACAAATATCAAAGGAAATGTTGCTTCATTAAGGTAAGCCACATCTTTATAATCATGCCCACCAATAAAGGAATGCGCTGGGATTAATCCTGTTTAAATTCATTCATATATCAATTTTTATCAGGAATTTCGTATGTCATCTACATATAATCATTATCTAACCATTTATTTAGCGGCTTAATTCTTTTCATCTCCTAAATTTTTATTCCAGCCCGCTTTTTAAATCTGCAGACTTGTACTCAATGTCGTTGGCCATTTGTTATGTACTCACACCCGGTACATTACGTACATGGGGGCGCTTTGTTGTAACTGAGCCTTGTTCTGTGCATTCTGTCACGTAATACCATGAGGGTTGGTTAGGTGGTTCTATGAAAAAGAAAACCTGTTATTTCAAAAAGGATGACTGAGGTCGAGCAAGGGGAATATTCAGTGAATCACTGACTTGACTGGCTGAGGACAATGCTGCTCTCTGCCGGATGGTTTGAAATGCTGTTAAACCAGTTTGGCAGACGATAGGGGCAGCATGTGCAGACCGCAAAATAATCCTCAGACGTGTAAATTGATTTTAATGTAGTTGCGGGCATGTGCACGCGGCTCGTATAAGTATAGTAATTACTCTAATCTAACTTTAATTGGTTTTATATAACTTTTGTGTGGTAATTGCTCTTACAGTGCATCTAATTTTTTTGGTCTCATGTGACTTTAAGGTAATTTATAATCACGCAGTCTGTAACGCCGATGATTTCCATAAAACCAGAGAACGTCCTAGGAATAAACAGAATTTTGATTTGGTAACTAGTAAACTGCAGTTTTATGTAGCTTTTCTCTCCGGGCAAAACCCAAGCGGGGATATCCTTAACCGAATGTAGAAGCATCATAATCGGATTAGAACCCATTGGAGAAAAAAAAATACCCTTCGGTATTATTAATAAACCCGTACAATCGGTTCGCACTTGGGTCGATCCTACACAGTGATTTACATGTAAGTATTTAATGGCTAATTATTCATTATCGTAAGCTATACCCGCACGAAAACGAAGTAGATACTCCAGCGCAGTAGACTACTGCAATCATACTGCAAACATGCTTCAAATCTGCTTCGATGTGGGAGCTAATTAGCATATTTGAAACATGCTTCTATCATGCTGCTAATCTACTGCATTAATGCTCCTCCTCTGTACAACCCTATGTAATTTTTGAAGTAGAATTGCAGTAGGCTATACTGCATTTCTACTGCAAATATGCTCCACACCACTACTGCGTTAATGCTTCTTTGCTACTTCGATACTACTGCATTTTCGTGCGGGTAATCATTATTATTTTCACAGGCTCTGTATTATAATGTAAATGAAATGGTGATAGGTCGTGTGAGGTCAGACCACACTCCGGATATCATCGTTATCATCTAAGGCCGCGTTCACAAAAGCGGTCTAACTACTCCGCGGATCAAATATTGCTGACCCACTTGAATGCTTGTTGCGTAATCCCCGTGGGTAATCTATTCAGCGTCTATTAGGGGATTAGACGGCAAGCTTTCAAGTGGGTCGCCATATTTGATCCGTGGACTAGTTAGTCCGCTGTTGTTAATAGAGCCTAAAGCTGGCCACCGTCATCTATTGATGTTTATTGATAATATGTAACACGTCACTTTATCATCTTGATGACTTTGTTGACAAATATAGATGGTTGCACAATGCACATCGAAACCAATAACAACTGTAAACAAATACAGTTTTATTTAGCAATAGTCGTAGACAGTTTAACCTAGATTTCCAGCCAAATTTCGTCTGTTGACAGTCAGACTTCATCAGGTAAAGGAGGGCTGTGATAGGTACAGTATTACCACCTATCATTCTTCTGGCGTGCTGATTCAGTCAGGTAAAACACCACCGTGCCCAAGAGAATATCCTGTAGGCTGATGCAATTAACCAACCAGTAGAGAAGCAAATAAATCCCTTAATCTAAATAATAGCCGGAAACCCAAATCCTATTTATATTTTGATATCGAATTTATTTAGATATCTATTTACTTAAAACTCTAATTCTATAGAGAAGCGGGCCATTTGAGTTCAGCCTGGACAGCACCATATAAAATAGTGCTTTCAAATCGAGGTTGTTAAGCTGGGATGATTTTTTCTCATCACTTTCAGCTGCTAGTTTATTCCAGCTTGTCACATTAAAAAAAGTTCTTCGTGTCTCTCGATGTTTTAAGTTTGTACACGCGCTTGCTGGTTTTATTTAATGAAATATTTTCCTTCTTTCAAATAAATTCCTATCAAATTACTGTTACATATTCATTTAAAACGGCAGTGGTTGGCTGCATGTTCAATTCTGTCCTTGTCCTTTTTTTTGAAGGCCTGTATCCGAGTAGCAAGACTATGAGTTTGCTTTTGTAATATTTACTCAAACGTGATGCTGTTCTTCATTAATTCTAAACTTCGCAAGTCCCTCCACTTGTTGATAAAAATGATAGCACCCGATGCTAGGACAAACACAGCAAAGCATGATGCAATAGCCAGAAACACGGCGTAGTAACTTCCTGTGACGTCACGGATATAGCCTGAAGTAGTAATGGAATGTTAAATAACAGCACACATGAACAAAACGATGGGAAATATACATTGCCAAGGACCGCAGTTAAGAAAAATATTAATTACTATTTTTTTCAATACTTTGGTCCCTGACACATTGTAATATTGTCGAACAAAATTGCATCCATCATACTCTATTTGTTACGTACAAATAGTGTTATATGTATAAAGAATACAAGTATGTTGCAAAAGGACGGAAGGAGTAGAGAGCAAGAGAATTAAGATGTAAACAGATATCTTGAAGTGCCCACGACGCCCATAATCTACCTGCCAAATACGGGCCTGTAGTGGCTCCAACGCCTGTACTGAACCGGATAGTAAGGAATAACGCATCTACGTTCTCACCGTCCATGATTTCGTTAACGACAGCATAGTAGCCGGCATTATATGGACCAAAAGCCAGACCTGAGACTAAAATTTTGATAGATTATGTAATTAAGGTAACAGATTTGTAAATCATAGAATCCAAAATATATTGAAAAACATTTCACCAGCTAGCACGCTATCAGAATTTCTTCTTAATTTTTTGAAATTTTATTAACGGTAGTAACATGTTTAAGAAAACCCTGCTGTGTATACATACATGAATACGTATGACTGTTTGTTTTATAATTAATATTACGATAAGTTAAGTATAAAAAATGCCACAGATAGAGTGACATAACGCGCAAAAATAAGGAAGGAATTAAAAGATCATGGTGGACCAAGCCGTTCATAAAGCTCGTGTGAAAATAAAAGAACACTTACCGGCACTGTATATAAACGCACCAGTTAATGATGTCGAATATGCGGCGATGATATTATTAATTGAGAGAAAAGCTGCTGCCACCAAGTTTACCACCAGTAACTTCCCTTTCAGATAGTCTCCGACCCAGGAGAAAAAGGATTGTCCAATCATGCCCATGATTCCTAGGACTGTTATCGCGTATTCTGCTTCGGATTCTTTAAATCCAAGGTCGGTCATGTGTTTTGGCTGAAAAGAGAGAAGCAACAAAGAAAATATATTTGGTTAATATATCACACTTCACCATTTATTGATATCTGTTTATTCATTTCTTAAAATTCATTCATTCATTCACATTCATTCATTTCTTTTATGCACTTAAACTTTTTGATAACTTTATTCTAAAATAATAATAATAATAATAATAATGCTTATGTGAATTTCAGTTGAACTAGATGAATACACTGATTAGTAATGGCCGTTGATCTACCGTCCAATGTTTGAAGTTCACTGCGTTTTGACTAAAGACAACAATTTAATGACGAGCTCTATAGCAATAAAGATGCTACAATACTCACGGCACTCACTTCCAAGATTACTTACCCTAGCGCAAAATATGAGAATATACACATATAGTAATTCAACCTTGCAATGAGCGGATTCTTAAAAAATCTTGCCAGTAATTACATAGGCAACACATACCTGTCATAATCATAATACTTACTAATATAATGAAAGGTAAATAGAAAGCGAATCCCTTGCAAATGATTGCCGAGGCCCATATTCCAAATATAGCAATTGTAGATTGTCTTGTCCAAGGCACTTTTTGCAGGAAATCTGCACTAAAACAAGAAAGACCTTTATGTTTAGAATTGTTTCTCACTGAATTAACTATGAAATGTGGTGTATCAAATATGTTGACGCAGTTTTTAAAGAAAAACTCAGAAAGGATACATCTTGGATAGATAGAATGCAGCATATAAACTATTTTGAATTTATGGTGAATGTTTTGACTTAAGTATGCAGAGTTTTGAAAACCAAAATTTAACGGAATCCCCTTATAATAATTCGATCTCTTTACTTTTTTTGTTTTTATCAGAATATATATAATTAAAATAATTATCGTTTGAGAGAGAATTTGACTGAAATAAGAGCCTGTAATTGCCTCCTGAAGTAGAACATATACTTCTTACTAATTGTTATACAGTATAAAAACCGGGTATATATATTTACTCTAAGTCTGGTGGCCAGTCTCG